AACGCGCCCCGAGTGCGTGGCCGCCAGTTGCTGGGTGTTTCATCACCCGAGTTGCCACGAGGCTTCTTGGGGAGGCATCCGGGGGAGAGCTGGGGGGCGAGGCCGCAGGGGAAGGTAGGCACGCCTGTGCCAGCCCCACAGACCGTGCCATTTGTGATAGTTGCAGCGTGCGCCCCACCAGCTTCAACTGTAGAGACCTCAAACTTGATGCGCCCCCCACCCCAGGCCACAAAGGAGAAAAGTGTTAACTTCTGTGCACTAATTTGCCAGCGTTGACACTGTATTTCTTCCCTTACAATCCTGCAGGAGTAGAGAACCATGATGTGTCTCTAACCAGAAGAACAAGTACTTTATAAAAGCGCTAATTACTTTTTATGGGGGGAAGTTACTGTCTTATTAAAGAGCCTTGTCAGCGTTGTTGTTAAAGGGCTGGAAAGATTAAGCCCTAGTCTAGGAACAGTCTTCAGTGGGTGTAGAGGAATTTTCTAAATTGATTCTTGACCTAATGGTTGGGTGGAAAAGTTAAGGCTCACTATTATATTCTTTCCCTTTGCAATATGTGTAACTGAAGAGTTTACCCTGTTGTAACAAATGTTTAAGCCTGCACGAGGAATGTCAGGTAGAATACTTTGTTCATGCCCAGTCTTTTATTGGCTAGGTTGCTACCTTTTTACCCCGGTGTAACTTTTCCATCCTTCCCGCACTCTTAGGTAATTTACCATAATATTCCATTGCATATTGTTTATCCAAATGCCTTTTCTGCGGGATTCCTTCTGTTCTGACATCTGTGGCCATGTTTTTTTCTATGGGATCACTTGCTTCTTTGCTTGATGGAATCAGAGTGACCTGACAAAACTCCCAGTAGTTTTCCATAAAGTTGTGGCAAGTTGAAGTTGTTATAAAATTCCTAAATCTGGAATTCATAGAAACTAAAATTCTATTTTACTAAAGTTTTATTTCACGTGAGGAAAAACATCTTTGTTTTTTCATCTGTTCAAAATGCAGATCTGTTAAAGAATGGTTCAAGTAGTTCCTATGGGCTATGTGCCTACCTCTGGATTAATAACCTTTTGAGGATCTACAGTATTGCTCAGGCATGCCACAACTTTAAGGTGTAAATAGTCTTTTTCTCCTTTCATAGAAAGGACTCTCCTTAAATTGATTACATGAGCCCTTCTGTTTTTTCTTTTAAGAAATGACATGATTGCAGTATAAACCCAGATTCTGTAAACTTAAAAAACCTGTGTTCTCCATCTTAGAGACACAGTCATGAATATTCAAACAGCTCTTGCTCTTCCAGATTGAGCAAAGAAAACTAGTTAACCTGGACAACTCACCAGTGTTTAAGAGGGTTATTTAAAACTAGTGCAGTTGGGCTGGCCAGATGGCTCAGTGGTCTAAAGCACCTACTTGGAACAAGCTTGGCAGAGTACAAGGACCACGGTTCAATCCCCCCAGCACCACATGCCAGCCAGCCCCGCCCCCTGGTGGGCTGAGCTGGCCCCACACACACACACACACACAATAAATAAATGTAAAAAAAAAATAAATAAAACTAGTGCAGTGGAGTGGAGGAGACTTGGACAAGAGCTGTCAAGGAAATATTCCTGAAAGAGATCATCTGTAAGTTGAATTTTGAAGAACCAGCGGGGTTTAACCAAGTTAATGGAAAAGAACAGTGTGTGCAATCATGAAAGATTACAGTGGAGAGCAGCCATGTGGTGCAGCCTTGCTGGCCTGGCTGAGTTAGGATGCAGTAGAGTGAGGAGTCGTTCAGAAGTGTTTGAGTCTTAATCTTGAGTGCGCTGGGGAGTTACCATTGCCTGGTAGTGTGCAGGTACGCTGTGTGCTTCCAGGGCACTCAGCCTGTGTACTGTTTTTATCATTTGATTTCAGCAGGCCCTGGGAAGACAAAGAGTCCTGTCCAAGGATCTGATCCTAGGAAAGACGGTACCCCTTTTGGCCAGTCTCTTGGTTTCTTTAGGTTCTAATTTGAAAAACAAAAAGCCCCACAGCTTTATTATGGGAGTAGTAAGCCTTAGTCCCCCTACCTCACAGGTCTTGAGAGAATGTGGGTTTTATATTATTTAGAATTTGTTCTGTTTGCTGAATTAAGTTACTATCAAAACCTAAGCTGCCTTGTCATGCGCTGATTTGAGAATGTTAGATCTGATATTGTGATTCTTTTCTCTTTTTTTGGTACCAGTAATCAATCAGGACCTTGCGTTTGCCAGGCAGACACTTGTGCTGCTGAGCTATATCCATCCCCAGCCCCCAAATCTGATACTGTGAATAACTAGGGTACTATCCACAGGTTTCTATTGTGAATATGTGGATTACTTTCCATAGAACCTTTGAAAGTTCTTAAATAATTAAATCATCTGACTTTTTTTTGTGTTTTTATTTTTCTTAGAAATACATTTCTAGAAATGGTTGGTAAAAGCATAGATCAGTAAGAATGCAGAACTGAGTCTGTTGTTCAAAGGCTAAATGAAGGGTTTTTCATTCAGTGTCTCGTGCAGTACTTTTGCAAACACTCCAATAAGGATATTAATTTGATCATAGCCATGATAAGTTTTTTTTTTTTTTTAAAGGCTTATGATATTAGTATTTGGAAGCAGGGAAACTATAACAAGATAATCTTGACTTGTTATTTTTTTAACTTAGTTGTGCAATTGTACTTTTTAAAGTACTGGAAATAGTAACAAAATTAAGAACATTAAATGCTTCTATGTAAAGAAGAAAATAATTACCTTCTCTGTTGAAGATTTTGAGGAATACAGTAACTTGCAAGTGTTAATGGGATGCTTTTTTAGAAATTACACATCAACAGAGTATATTCAGAGTATTTATATTTAGCAGGCCCTGTGCTAAGATGAGTTCTTGTAGAAGTCATTTGGGGGAATTTATAAAGCAGTTTATATTGTATATCTTTTATATTTTATGTCATATCTTTAGTCACTGGTTGTGATATTCTAGATAAGCATCTGTTTTGTTCATTAACCATTGTTTCCTTTCACCTTGATTTTTACGTGCAGATGTGTGTGGATTCCATAGGGTCAGAGGGCACGCCTATTGCAATCAGAAGACTCCAAGTGTAGAGGCAGGGATGGATGAACAGGCTCTTTTAGGGCTAAATCCAAATGCTGATTCAGACTTCAGACAAAGGGTAAGTTAGTCTGTTTATTATTTTATTTATTTATGTATGTATGTATGTATGTATGTGTGTGTGTGGCCAGCTCAGCCCACCAGGGGGCGGGGGCTGGCAGGCATGTGGTGCTGGGGGATTGAACCGCGGTCCCTGTGCTTTGCTAAGCTTGTTCTAAGTAGGTGCTTTAGACCACTGAGCCATCTCACCAGCCCCAAGTTAGTCTGTTTAAACATTTCTTACAGCATGCTACCACAAATATATATTAGAGGACTCAAAAATTATTTCTAGGGGCCAGGGAGCTGGCTCAGTGGAATAAGCACTTGCCTGGCAAATGCAGTGGCCTGAGTTCAATCCCCGGTTCTGCAAAAAAAATAAAAAAAATTCTGATGATAAAGGTCTAGTTGAGGTGGAAATTAAATAGAGACAAATTTGAGGTAAGGTATTCTAAATACGGACATAGTGTTGTGGTTTATTTTTGATTTAGTTGACTGAACAAAAGTATTCAAATTTCTTGTGATTCAGGGCAGGTTTTTAGGCAACATCTGTCTAATTGTTTAAAAGTTCAAGGGACTTTCTGTACTAGTAGACATGCACATTTTATGTTGCTTGGCCTGCTCTGTACAAGTTGTATCAGTGATACTTAATGTCCTTGTTAAATAGTGCAGGCAGACATGTAAATTAAGCAGTTATGATATGCCATGTCTTAAGTTTCATAAAATGAGTACATGACAGGAATCCATTAGGAGGTGCCAGGCTATTTGGATAAATGTAAACAGTTAAACATGATATAGCCAGAAACTATAATCATGGCTATAGCTGAATGAAACAGGAGTGTAAAGAACAAGCCTATAATTAATTTTTAAAGACATGCCTTTTGAAGTACAGGATAAGAGGAAGAAGAGGGATTTTTTCTTCTTTTTTTTCTTCATGGCAAATAATATTTTTTTCTTTTTTTTTTTTTAATTATTTATTCGTTTATTTTGTGTGTTTGGCCAGCTCAGCCCACCAGGGGGCGGGGCTGGCTGGCATGTGGTGCTGGGGGATTGAAC